TACCAATAACCTGCTACAATATCTTGTACCTTAGTGGCCAACAGTTATATCCTCAGATACTGCATGTAGAACATGCTATGAGAAAAGGTTACAAGGCCAAGGCCCTGCTGGGGGCAGCCCTGGGAAGGAAATGGCATATCTCTGTTATAATACCAGTCTTACTATGGAGTTCACGTGCCTTAATAAAGCCAAAATGGCCATCATGGAAAGGCAATTTCAAAATACTTGTTAGGTTGTCTAACCAATGGACCATAATTCAAAGGGAAGCCAGACTTGAAAGCTTGGCCCTGATGGATAATGTGTCTTTTAAATAGTGTGACACTCATTAGCTATTGAAAGTGAATTACCCCAGAAGACCACAGGAGCAAAGTCATGTAGATTGCTGGCAATAAACCTCTCTACTCAAAGATGACAAGGCCAAGTTGCCACAAAGAAAAGGAAAAGGTTCCCAGTCTCTTCTTTCAAGGGGACTGTTATACCATGATGAAGTAGGAGGTGCCTCACTGCCCCACAGGTACTGTCATCAGCCTTTTGCTGACTTACAATAGCTACTTAGAAGAGAGGCCCAGAGAAGTCCTGAACACTTTCCGTGCCATCGTAGGATAAACTGATTCTGGAGCAGTAAACATTGATGCAGCCACCAGAACTTCCTGGCACATTATTTGACACTAAATCAGAGTCCTTTTAGAGAAGGGAATACTCACTTCAACTCAGCTAATAAGTATGAGGGACTATCTAGAACTAGGAATCAATTTGAGACTGATACAGAGGAAAATAACTGGTATTGACAGAAGTTGATACCCAAAGGTAGAGACTGATTTCTGATGAAACTCGGGCTTTAGAGTTCCTAAAAATGATCTAGAATTAATAAGGATGTAAAGATACAAGAATGTTACTGACTCACAACGGTGAGTTTGTCCTTGGTTCATTTAATCTTCTAGGTTTATATGATCAAGAGTCATAAACAGAAAACTTTGCAGAAAACATTGGAAAGTCAAGTCTTGCCTACTCATGGTTTTGTCTCTAATTGGATTTGTACTGATGAGAACAGAGTAAAACACAAGATCCAAAGGCATGAAAAGGTGGAATATGAGTAGGTAATGTCATATGAATCTGAACATCCTCTGAACCACAAATGCCCACCCTCTAGTCTGGCCATTAACACTCTGAAGGTCTTTCCCCAGTATCCAAAAGGAATGACTCCACCCCCCTAACAAATACACACACCCACAAAGTAAGGCCAACACAGGCCAAAATTAGGCCCATTACAGAAAGCCTCAGTAACTCTTCTTGGTGGAACCACAGCCAAGAAGCCCATCACAGCCGCCATCTCCTCCTCCTCAAATGTCAAGTCCTCCTCCACTCTCCTGTTCTTCTGTTTCTCTTTCCTGTATGCTTTAGCCTTTTCTTCCTGAGTTTCTTCATCCTCTGCTCAAAATCATAATCCTTCGGCTGGTTTACGTCTTACTGACTGACCTCAAAGCCTTTCTTCACCTGATCCAGGATAGAACGTTCCACATGCCTAGGCATGCCCAGGTTCCGTTGATTCTTTCCATTCATATGATCCAGGAAGTTGATGGAGTCTCTCACACAGTCACAGACATTGCAGTAATATCCTCCCATCTCAGATGGTGGGGTTGTCTTGGTCATGACATTTGGAATCCAATCTTGGGGAGATGAGCCCACTTTATAGTCTCTTTGTTACTGAAACTCCCTCTTGACTGGCTGCCCTGGTTTTCCATCCTTTCCACTCTCTCCTGTGAGTCTCAGTAAGTTTCTTGTATTCCTTTGTCCCACTTTCAGAGAAAATACAAGATATATATATATATATATGTATATATATATGTATGTATATATATTGCTTTAAAAATAGGATCTTTTCAAAAACAGAAATTTTATAGACAGGTAATCTAGCTTAGAAACAGCCAAACACACAAAATCCAGACTTAGAAATTATGATTTGTAATATATACAATACTGGTGCTGAGCAACTGTTGAAATGTGATGGGATTAAAAGTATTCTACATTTGAATAATTATTAAAACCAGTGCTTTGGACTAAAATGTCTGAATTCCTTTCTCTTATATTCTGATCTTCCCAGAAGATGCAGAAATGGCAGCAGCTAGGCAGTATAATTGTGTGCCTATGATTCAAAAAATACATCTGCACTTTTATTCTTTTCCTATTTTCTTTGAAATTCATTCCTATGTGACAGCAAGCCTGGTCCTATTTGC